AATTATATATGTATATAAATATATATATATATATATATAGAAATATATATATATATAGTAATTTCGCTCTCGAAAAGTTAATCGAGTAAATTGCAAGCAATTGCACTGATAAATTTTCAACTTATCGCAAACTTTGTAATCTTGGCTGTGTGCGCATAATAAAATGCTTTTAATTCATTGACTTGAACAGCAACAAGCTGGGAATGCTTACAGTGGAGCATGCTCAACCAGCAGATACCTGTAGCCATGAATTTGATTATGAAATATGCTGAATTGTTTTCACATTTGGACTTAAGAAAGTATGTTTAGTATGCAAGATAGAACATATTTAAAAGTCGCGAATTGCGTATACTTAATTGTAGTCAATTAATCTGTGGCTACAGGGTATAAGCAAGACATGCATTCCCTTGCATATGCATTTGTTTGAGACAGAAAATATATGCAAATATATTTTGCAGGACCTGTGTCATTCAGCACAATTATAATGCACCTTTTTGCAAATGGATGACATAATAAGAGCTGCTTAAATTTTGCAACGACTGCAAATTAAAGTGAAAACAATTTTAAGGGCGTCTACACAAAATGCACGGCAGACACATGCATTGCGTTTGTGGCTGGGTGCGGGCAGTAGTTGATCCTTTGAGCTCTCACACCCACACGCACACATACTCACATTCGTGCACCCACATACACATACACACACACACACTGACACACGTCCAAGTTCAACGCAAATAAATTGCGCATTCAGAGCAAAAGTCTCGAATTAAAAACTAGCAAGGACAGCTTTCATGGGCACGCCGAAGTTTACATACACTCACCACTAAATTTATATACCTATGGGAGATATATATATGTATATACACTCACAACTATGTTGTGAGTGAGTATATGACTTGGATCCAACTGGTAAATTTGATTAGCATGTCCTTGCTCAACAAAAATGTTATTTATCTATATAATAACTACACATTTCATATAGACTCACACAGTCTAGAATATCCTGAGTAAGGGTATACTAAACAAAAATAGAAAGCGGCAACATAACGAAGCATAAAAATATATGAAATCCACAAAATGCGATAAGAAGATAAATAAAAGCCTTTTGCCAATGCCATATACAAAAGTGGTCAAAGTCTGTACCCAGTTCTCTGACCAGCATTCTGGGCGATTCTCTTTTTGGACACAAAACAAGATGCAGGCTGACAGACGGAGAGGGAGGACAGCGCCAAGAAGGGGAAAACAACTTCATAACAAATGCGAGAGCAGCGGATATCCGTTTGGGTCATTGGACATCTTCTTGATTGGAGTTACTCAGTGCAGAGAACTGCTCTCAGTTCGAAGCTCAAACTGTTTTAATAACTGGGCACACACACATATATATACATATATACAATCTAACGGAAGGTATTTCTTTTTTAAGCCCACTTGGCTATTCAGTCAGCGTTCCACTGACCCGAAAGCCGCGCCAGGCATTCAAATTGACAGCATTAAAATTGTCTATCTGGCTGGGCTTTTGGGATCTGAGCCCGTGGCCGACAGGGGCTGTCAGAAATGTGATAAGGGCTGGCCGAATACGTTAACAGGCTTTGTTTACCCCATATTTCCTGGCTGCAGCTTAATTAATAAGTCAATAGCTGCTTGCTTAAGGCAGCTTAGTATCTGAAGGAGCATGGTCTTAGCGGCAAAGTCACAGCCAAATAGAAAATAACTAAACATATTCAGTGAGCCCTGATATAACCAATTTGTTCTGACAGAAACACACTAATGATGCTGTAAAGTGTGCATGACTTGCAAATGCCCTGTTTTTTTTTTTGTTTTGAGTTCTTGAAATTCAAAGTTTTGTATAGAAAAAACTACATAAGGGCAAATTTAGTAGTTAAACTATTAATATATTTTCTTGGCTTGATGGCAGAACAGTAAGATACCACTTAAGCACAACTCCAAAAATCGTAATCTACTATTTTTTTTTTGTTTGCTATACTGTACGTATGCTTCCTGCTTGCAACATGGTGTTACAACAACGTCGTCAACGAGCATAACAGTATTAAACGCCCTCCAGACACACTCGGAAAAATGTCAAGGCAATGTCGGCCATCGGTTTTTATTCTCCGTCTCGTAGTGTAGTTGTTCTTATTGTTGTTGCTGCTGCTGCTTAATTTTGTTATGAACTTTATGCACATTTACGCCATTTCATAAAATTTTCATAATGGCTGCCCCGCATATGTATGAATGAGTGTGTGTGTGCGCGTGTGTGCTAGTGTTAGAGTGTGTGCCACAACGAGTGACTGACTGACAGCGTCGTTTGAGTTTTTATAACGTCATCGTCACGGGATCTGCTGCGTCCCGTTGCCAGTCCTAATGGCGCAAATGTTCAATAAAGTGGCTTTTAGCGCTTTTGCACACACATAAGTAATCACACACATGCACATACACACTACCACACATAGAGTGACACACATCAGTGGGCCGGAAGGCAGAGCTCATGTGTTCGTTTGAGTTTGTTTTGGCCTCCTCAGAATCTGCGCCTCATTCTGTATTTTTAGGAGGCACTACACGCACATTATGTGCTTTACCTTTTCAAATAAATTAAATGAGCATATTCATTTAATGCATCACTGTGCTGTTGCCTTGCCGAAAATAAAAAAAGAACCACTACCAATCTTGAATGCTGCAGAATGTCGGCACTTAAGCACTTGTGTAGCCGTTGATAAGCACTTTATAGCACAGTCATTTCCTTTTAAATTTAAAACTCAAGATAAGATTTTCAGCTGAGTGTTTCTCAAAAATTACATTCAGTCAAAATCTATTGAGATAAGTCAACTTAACTAATTACTGTATATATAAGCTAATACCTGATTGGCTGTATGTTTGTAAAACTTAATACAAACTCTATTTTAATCGATGTACTAATTAATAACATTTCTTATTGTTTTAAATATTTTTGACAAAACTGACCGATTTTAAATATACTTTTCAGCTCTAACCTTATTTGAGAACGTTGCTTTAATCATTTGTTAATTTTTTTTTTGGATGCAGAAACAAATATTTTTCTTATATATTATTTTGCATTTGTGTCGAGTTGCATACAGCGCATTTGATAGTCGCTTATGCCCATTGCTTATTTGTCTATAGGTTTATTTGTTTGGTAACGCATTCGAAAAACAATTAATTTGCCTGCTTGATTGCAAAAATTTGTCTGTGCTCGGAAATTTGTTTTGAATGTAAACACACTCACATGGTCCAGACATGACCACAATTTTATGCTTTGCATGATGTGCGCCGGCTTCCAGTTCCAAATCCATCTCCAGCTCCGTCTGGGCACATGGTGCGCTTCTGTTGCCCATTATTATTAATGTATCGTCGTTTAACATATATATATTTGTATTTGTATATATGTATATGTCTGTACATAAATTTCTATAAAGCATTCAAATTGCTGCATAGCCATGAGTTCATTTTTAATTAAAAATTGCCTACAATGGACAACAAAGGCGACGGGATAGATCACTCAATAAAATGTTGAAACATGACGCACGGGCAAGTTGATAAGTGAAAATAGCTGAAAGCGTTTAAATTTAATGCCAAACTATTCTCAGAACTAGTTGAGAAAATAATGGCGTATATAAATTACTAAGTATACGCACTGAGAGATTTTGAATCTTGCATGAAATATAAAAATAAGAAGAACTTAATTGGTTGAATCAAGTTGATTCCTATATGACTGTACATAGTACTAGATTTATTATAGTACATCAATGTGTCTGGTATATAAGCAATTGGATGATGATGCCACCACCAGGACAACTTACACCACCATATCCTGCCATCAGTCTTGGTTGGTGAGACTTATAGAAAACTTGTGTCATTCAATTATATCGCTATTAGTTATTCGTGACGCACCACTTGAGCTAAGGCATAACCTCACGTACGCCATGCCCCTAGCTTACCCGTCTCCACCCTTCCCTCCTCCTCTGTTGAGCTGTCTATCTGCGAGCCCCATCTCTGGTTACAGCTGTTGCCAAGCTGTTCTGCTTCTCTGCCATTTCCATTTCCATGATTAATAAATGTCGACCGCAACATTGCCGACACCTCAACGACAGCAGCAACAAAAACTTCGCGTCGTTTGGACAAAATATGTTGCGGCTTTTTTCGAGCCAAAGAGCGCCGCACTTAGAACCGCTTTTGCTGTTGCTGCTAACCAGGTCTCAACACAAATACTCACTCACACACACACACACAGACCGATATAAACTCTAAGTGCACTTTGGCTGATACAAACGTACGCAGCTCCTTTGTCAGAGTCAGAAACAGAAAGAGAAACAGGTGACAACAAGTACACGTATTCGCAACGTGCAACAACTGCCAGGGGACGCAAGAGGCGCAACCATTGAACTGAAATTTTAGAGCAGTAGAGCAATATGTATTCATGTTATTTCATATATGTATATGAATATGTATGTACTTGTACATAAGCAAATGCCTTGTCACCGGCAGGCTTCGTTGTGGTCGCCATGCGGTCTTTATTTGTTGAATCCTGCAATACCTTGGGGAATGCATAACGAATTTTAATAAGAGATGCGCAGTTCTGTATTAATGTTGAGTGTCAAGTAGAACTTTAAAGAGCTAAACATTAAATCAATTGAAACCCGAGCTTCGTTTAAAAACATTCTACCTTTTATAATTAAGTCGAGCTCAATTTATTTATATTATTCCGTATATATGACTTGTCTAACATGGAATTGAACTGATCAATATATCGAACAATAATCGGCTTGTTACAATATTTTCATATAGAGCATTTATATATATTGCATATATACAATATATACACTATATTTAAGTCACACTCAAACTGAAACTAACAAAATTTTAATACATGCCTGCTCTTGATGAGATAATTTATGAGCACGCATATTATTTGTATAAATTTTCTTCCTCATTTTTGCCCTAGTCAATTAATTAACACTTGTATCTTTCTATCACATATTTTATTACAGATAATAGCGTCAACCTTTCGCCAAGCCTAAAAAGAAAAGTGGGAAGATAGAAAATAAGAAGAAATCCAAAAGATCCAATCAAACGCTGCAAAACTTGACAAACATCAAAGACACGTAAATTCCGTTCTGTTGGTCCCAAACCCAACCTTGGAAACTAAATGAAGCCTGTGTGCGTAACTTGGCCAAATACCGCAACGCTGGATCTTAGACGACGGCAACAAATTAGCCAGCTTGCCATAGACTTGCAAGTTTGAAGTAAAAAAAGCCAGCCAAAAGTACGCAAAGGTTTTATCGCTTGCTTAGCGTCAGACTCAGCTTCAGGTTCATCAATAGCTGAACTCGGTTGTGTTTGTGCTGGAAAGCAAAGCCAACTGTTTTCATCCATAAAAAAAAGCCTGCAGGCATACGAGGTGTGTGTGTGTGTTATTTTTTGAGAGCGCCAAAGGATTCATTAAAAAACCGCCAACCTGGAACTAATGGAATTAGAGAATATTGTGGCCAATACGGTCTACTTGAAAGCGAGAGAAGGTGAGTCCAAAATCCAACCCCAAAAAAAAAAAAAAACTATTCACGAAAAATAACGAGAGCTCTTAGGCATCAAATCCTTGGAGGAGCGCGAGTGCTTCCTTCGTGTTGTCACCTTGTCTGCCAGAACTGAGCCACATCGATTTTTGTTACTCTCTCATACTCCCATCAAGGGTGGGTGTTAATTGTACATCAAGCCAAAAGTTACACTCTGAAAAATGAGGGGAAACATCAAACGAAATGCTTAATTCGTTTAATTTTTTTTGCTTCCCCCAACTGTTGCGGGTTAAATTAAGCAAAGTCTTACACAATTTCGTTCTCAAAACATGTTGTAATATATCTAAAATAGACAAGTGAATTGCTTGTAATTTTGTCCTAGCTTTTCGACCTACTTATGCAAAATTAATAATCGATTTTGAAATGCAGAATGATTTATGGGTTTTTAATGTTTGAATTCTCTACCAGTTGTCCTCGCATTGAGTATGCCATTTGTTTTTCTAGGTGCATACCACCCAGGTTCTGTTCGCTTTTATGAGCTTGACATTTTTGTGTACCAAGTCCTGTTGTTGTCGTTGTTTGGCGCCTGGCACTGCGCTTTATCTAAAGTTAATGAAGCGTTAAATGTTTGCGCTCCAGCAACTTATTCATTTTCATGCTTCATGTTACAGCTTTAAGTGCTCTATTTGACTCCGTATTCTATACTCGATAATTCTGTTACGTCGAGGTCACACTTCAATTGCATGACCATGTCCAGTGTCCTGTTACTCATCGTCATAGTCAAGTTCAGTGTCATTGTTGAGAGCGTCTTATGTAACAGGACGAGGCAGACAGACAGTCAACCCCAGCATTCACGCAAAAAGTTATTGTTGAATTGTGCAGAGAATTTCTTTGAATATTTCAACTGGCTGAAGGTGACCTTCATTCATACCCAATAACAGCAGTGCGTGTGTGGAAGTGGTTGGGTGTACGCTTAAGAATATATGTTGATTTTATGGTTGTGTAATGTATCTACAGATTGCATGCATGATGACTTCTAATGACTGACTGCACACGTGAAGGAATCGCTTAAATTACAACAGCAACATGTGCTTATCACTCGCTTGTGCTCAATCAAATGTATAATTTTTCTGTTCACTTTTAGGTTGAAATAACCAAGCGAATCGAGCGGCCGACAAAATGTATCCATCAGATACTTTTGCACGACGCTCAGCCGCTCAACAGATTTAAATGACAGAAACGTGCACAAAATTTCAATTTCCTCCAGTAATGTAATATTTGAGAACAGTTTGTTAATAGTAGAGGGGAATGAGCAAAGGAGAGTGAGAAGAAAAAAAAAATATATATATATATATTTGCAATAGATTTAACGAGCCAAAAAGTGAGTTTTTTATTTATATTTGATAGCAGCAGCAAAAAAGAATTTCGAAGAAAAAAAGTCCTTTTGGCCACAAACTTTTCTATTTGATTTAGTTTTTTTTTTCTTAGAAAAGTTGCTACTGAACAAATGTTACTTCAAACCTTTACTTTTTAATTCTGAAAGCAAAGCCGAACAGAGTTGTGCCTTAATACATATTTATCGTAACGTAATCGAACCCAAAACAAAGAAGAAATGAAAAAGGAACAAAAATTTATGAAGGCACAGTTGCCTTTGTTTGTTTAAAATGGAAAAGTGTAAAATTTAATTCGCTGCCTGAACTTATTGAAAATGGGTAAATAAAGTTGTGCAAGAAACGGCCTGTGTAGTCAGTATATATATAAAGTATATATATATTATAATTCATCATCGTCACCGCAGTCCATTTAGCAATGTCCATCTGCCTGTCCGCATGTTAGTCCGTATAAGCTCGCCGATCTCAGAGATTATAAAACGTAGGGAAATCAGATAAAAGTTCTATTTTACTTTGATCGATAACTTCCTTCCTTTCTTAAATATCAATACAAATCGATAACCGATAGCAAAAGAAAAGCCACAGTCATAAAAATATATATTGCTAATTCAGAATGAATACGAATATGTATAGTAGTCCATTCCGCAATTTGAAAAAAATGACTAAAAAACATATATTTACATTTTTCAAATCTAAAAGGTGTTCGACTTAGAATATTTATTGACTTGACTTCAGGGTATCTCTTAGTCGAGTGCTCTTAAGTATGGCACCCTTATATTTTTGGGGTATAGCTAAAGGATACCAAAGTTCACTTTTTTCGCCTTCTTTGTGCTGAATTTATCTTTACCAATCAAAAAATAATATTGCTGTGTTCATGTCTTTGTGAAATATCCATCAGTATTGCTTTTGAGTGGTGGTCTAACAAACTTTTTTTCAACCAATTGCGGGTCTTCTTTTTAAAAGTAAATCAACAATCACGAATCAATGAGTCAATCAAAATAACTGCTTATATAGATATTAATTTTTATATATAGATATTAATTCGGCAATAGATTTTATTGAATATATTCACTCTCTTAATTATAGTCAATTGAATTGTCAAAAAGTTCAATCACTTGGAGAGCTTTAAATTCAATCACAGTCATTTGTAAAAGTCAATTAAAGCAGAGGCATTCCATTAGATCCATTACATAAGAGGAGTATCCCACTTCTGTGTACCGCTAACGTTTTTGTAATGAATTGAAAATTGATGAAAACGCGAACGGAGATATTGCCTTTTATGGTGAAATCCTCTACTACTCTCTGTTCAATGAGCTTAATATGATAAATGATGCACTTGCAAATGAGATTATATAGGACTTTACAAATAGGACTTCTATGCCTTTATGGCATTTGGTCAAAGCTAAAATTTAACTCGCTTCTATATTCCATTGAAACCATACAAAGCAGGCAGGCAGGCCTAAGTTTGCAGCTTTCAATTCTGTATGTACAGTATACGTACACTCAGAAAAATAAACTAATTTTCTACTCAAAAGAAGTGCTTGCCTTAAAAATGTTTCAATCCTATTTATGCATTATTGTAACAACAAATATGAAATGCTATCCAAGAATATTCAAGAACGATTGTAATTGTAAATAAAACAGCGTATTTCTCTGAGTGTATATGCCACATACATCACACGCCTGACTTATCAGCAAAGCTTGATGTTGTTTTTGTGGCCTTTGATACTCAGCTCAGCGCATTTCAATTCGCTAGGCTAAAAGTTATCAACAATTTCAGACTAATCACTGACTGACCACGCCTCAAAATGGAATCCGCTTTAAAAGCATTTCAATGCATTCCATTCTTAGTCCGACTAAGCTCACAAAGCAATGGCTTTTGAGAGTTTTTTTTTTTTGTTTTGTAGAAATGATGTTTGCATTTCAATTTTTGCTGCTTTTTTGTTTTTTTAAATTTTTGCATCAGAAAATGAGGACGCATTAAAATGGACGCAGTTAAGGCGAAGGAGAGAAGCAAGATAGGATAGAGTGAGAAATAAATGTTGTCGCCTGCGATGACATAAATTTTGCCTTAATGCGCTGCCATAATGCTGATTATATCTGGCAAGGAAACTGCGAATGTAAATGCGAACTGAATCTCATTCGAGGTTAGAAAGAAGTGAAAAATGTAATTTGATCGTCGCTGCTGGTAAATAAAAATTGAAATTTGTAGCCAATAAAATGCTGTATGAAAGTAAGAATCACATATCAACGTCGTGCAAAGCGAAAAGCTGGCATTTAAAATTCTTTGAGGCTGAAAGAAATGGAACATGTTGCAAGTTAAGGAAAATATTTGTAGCCAAATCACTTAGTTAATGAAACCAATAATGATTTGTTTTTATTTATATGTTATATAAATATATATATATATGTTCAATGTTTTGTGGCTAATTTGTAGCTAATTTAAGTAAATATTCCAAGCCTTTGGAAAAGGAATCACTTAGTAATTGGCCTTTGCAATTTAATATCTTATAGAGCCGTCTAATTTAATGGACCTATTTTAATTTAATGTAAATATTTAGCCAAAGCACTTAGGCACACAAGTGGGGTAAGTGCATCCTGTTTGGTAGCACTTTGCTGCCGTTGGTGCTGTTGCGCCTCTGTTGAGGCATCCACGTTTGCTGTATTAGCCCACTTGAGTTGTGTGTGCCCCCGAAGCCCGGAGCCGTCGAGTTTTGGTTCAATGACCGCTGGTCAAGTCAACAACTCGAGTCGGCAACTGTTGGCAACTGCTGCCTACTACAATACACGCCAATTCATTTTCAAGTGGGTGTGCATGTGTTTGTGTGTGTGTGTGTGTGTGTGTGTGAGTGAGTGAGTATGTTGCTGTTGTTGGCATTGTACTCTTTATCAGGCTAACAAGGCTTTAGTTATGTTATATGCTAAGCAGCTAAATAAAAAAAAATATATATTTAGAAAGCAAAAAAAGTATAAACCAGTTGTTAATTATCGCACGCAATACAAATGCAACAAAAGCAGAGGTGTGTGTGTTGTCGGCTATGTGTGTGTGTGTAAGTGTGTTTGTATGTGTTGAGGCTGTTCTAGTTGGTCGCACATTTTCAACACGCTAATTGCTTGTAACAGTCCGTTAGTCAAAGGCGTCAGTCTGACTGACGTTTAATATTTCAGTTTGCATTTGGAGTCTTCTTATCAACAAGTTGCGGCCCACAACAAATCCTAGCCATATAATAAATATATAAGGCAGCACGGCAGGCACTCAGAGAAAAATGCCAGGATCGAATGTCGAGTACACTTTATTCTTGACTATGCTTAGATAAGTATCAATATAAATCATTAATGATTGGTATTAATTACATTAATACAAAGCCGAAGCAGTGAAGTAAAAAGAATTATAAGCGAATCTAAATTTAAGAATTATTCATTTTGATATATTTTACACCTGTCTGAAGAGTATTTTTATTTTATTTATTTAATGAATAGATGGCCAACAAATTAATTATTAACCCAGTATTGATTCTAGTCGCACTAAATGAATGGGTGATCCAAGAGGGTATTCTTGTTTTTTTACTATTTCTTTTGTTGAGTGTGTCTATGGGCAGCTCCTGCAAGTGGGTG